CACTCCCGTCCTCACTTCAAAGGATTCCGTGAGCCTCCCGTTGTGGATTACTTGGCATGCAGCGTTGTCATACAGCTGTTGGATGAGATGAATAATTGTCGGCGGCACCCCGTAGTAGCGAAGTAGTTGCCAAATCACCTCTCGATCGACGCTGTCGAAGGCTTTCTCAAAATCGATGAAGTTGAGATAGAGAGGTGACTGCCATTCCAAACTTTGTTCAATGATAATCCGTAGGGTGGCGATTTGGTCAATGCATGACTTGTTCCTCCTGAATCCGGCCTGTTCCGGACGAAGTTTTTCATCTAGGGCTTGTTTAATTCTCTCCAGGATGATGCGACATAGTATCTTGCTTGGAATGGACAGAAGCATAATTCCACGCCAGTTTTTACATTGACTCAAATCTCCTTTCTTTGGCAGTTTGAATAGGTATCCGTTCTTCCAATCCTCGGGTACTTTGCCCTCTTTCCACACCTTCTCTAGTAGTGGCGTCATCAAGTCCGCTGTTGTCTCTGGGTCTATTTTCAAAGCTTCTGCTGGGATTCCATCTGGTCCTGGCGCTTTCCCAGCTTTTAGCATCTTGATGGCATTCAGGACTTCGGATTTCGTCGGAGGGTCGATGTTCATTGGTAGTTCTGCTTCCGTTGTTGGTATTGTTGGACGCGTTGTAGGTGGCGGACGATTTAGAAGTCTTTTGAAGTGTTCAGCCCAGTGCTTCCTCTGTTCCACCTCTTTGGTGATTGACTTTCCATTGTCGTCCTTTATTGGCTTAATCTGTGTCGAACTTTTGCCCGAAAGGTGCCTAGTTGTTTGGTATAGTGTAGCGAGGTCTCCTTTGCCTGCAGCTTGTTCTGCTTCGTTTGCCATGGTTTCACAATATTTTCTTTTGTCTTCCCTGGCACTTTTCTTCACTCTTTTGTTCAGTGCATTGTAGCTTGCATTCAACTCCTGTTTCTGTTGCTCGTCGGTGCACTGGATAATCTTTTGTTTCGCCACCCTTCTCTCTTCTATTAGTTTCCAAGTGTCCGTAGAGAGCCACTGTTTGTCCTGTCTCTTTTTTCTGCCTAGGACTTCCATGCAGGTTTGACTCCACACCGTTTTCAATTTGTTCCAATGCTTTTCGACGCTGACCTTTTCGTTGGTGTTGATTTGTGTCTCGGCTTTTTCCTTTATGTTTGCAATGAAGATGTCCTTTGTAGCCTGGTCCTTCAGCTTTTGAGTGTTGAACTTGGCTTGTGGTCTATCTGCAGCTCCTGTTTCCCTGAAAGCTTTTAATTTGATTTGGATTGTCCCTTGTACGAGGTAGTGGTCTGAGCCAACGTCTGCTCCTCTTCTTGCTCTTGTGTCCAGTAGGCTGCGTCTCCACTTCCTCGATATTGTGATGAAGTCAATTTGGTTTTTGGTTCGCCCGTCTGGTGACACCCATGACCGAGAAATAACTTTGAAACTACTTCAACACTATGGCGTGCAGTGCCCAAGTCTTTATCAACCTCATTCAACAGCTGGCTATATGACAATGCCACATGTCAGGTGATCCACAACGGGAAACTCAGCGAGGCGTTCGAAGTGAATACAGGAGTAAGACAAGGCTGCCTGCCTATTATCACCGATGATATTCCTAACTGTGGTGGACTGGATTATGTGTCAGACTGTGAGGAGCGAGGAGACAGGAGTACGCTGGACCACTGATAAGAAGACTCTAGAAGATCTGGGTTTCTCAGACGACATTTGTTTAGTGTCACACAGACTCGAAGACTTAGAAGCAGGCGGAAAGCAACAAACTGGCTGAAGAAGCGGGAGGCGAAGACAGGACTCCAGGTGAACACAGAGAAGACGGATGTGATGAAGACAGCCAGCCAGCCAGCCACCACCACCAGCAACAACAACCACCATCAAGGGGAGAGATTTGACAGAAGTTACTTCCTGGCTTCACTTATCTGAGAAGCATCGTTTCAACCACAGGCAGACGGGACGGATGGAGATGTCAAAGCCAGCCAGAATCGGAAAGACAAGATGTGCCTTCATCAACCTGAAGCAGTTTGTAAATCTTCTGCACTCAGCCAGCATCAAGAAGAAGATTTGGATTTTCAACAGAAATGTGAAATCAGCCAGTCAGTCAGTCAGTTGTTCTAAATTGGTCAGAAACTTGCACTGCGTGTTACGCAAAGCATTTCTAACAGGCTACTGCAGACTTTTATCAACAGCTACCTCCGTTGGCTCCATACTGAATATCAAATGGTCGGCAAGCCGGCCAGGAAGAATACTTAACAAGGAAATGTGGGAACAAACTGACCAAGAACTTATCGCTCAACAAATATGTAGGAGAAAATACAGATGGATCGTGCATGCATTGAGAAAACTGTCAAGCGACATCGTGCACTAGGCCCTCGAGTGGAATCCAAATGGGAAGCGACAAGCGGATAGTCCTAGGGTGACATGGAGGAGATCGTGCGAAGAGGAGATGAGAGACTATGGTCAATCGTGGATCCAAATGGAGAGGACCGCAGAAGGCAGAACAAAGTGATGTGTTGTTGAAGCCCTATGTTCCACTCGGAAAGCAAGGAAGTAATAATAATAAAAATAATAACACCGGCTTCAGATAACCACAGTAATATCCTTAAATTTTGCACGTACTTCTGGTGGAACTTCCTGTAGCGCATATAATGTCCTTGTAGTGTCAATACCGTTAAAAGCGTGATGTTTTAAGAGTTTTGTGATTTGGATAAACATGATGACGCCGTAGAATTTTCCAATATGTTTTGGGATACCCGTGACTGATGATGCATTTTATTTCAACTCCTGTTGGCTGTGCAGTTTACATTCATTTGAATGACAATCAATAATAACGACCTACCATTCCATCTCGTACTTCAAATGCATTTGATTCCATCCACGAAAATTCAGCATCAGGTATAATGCTAATTTACCCTTATGGACTAGTGTGTGCTAAGATTAATGGATTTATAACCGTAGAGCCTGAAGTGTTTGAAAACTATTATCCACTCTAATCATTCTTGTTAAATGATCAGTTTATATAAGAGAACTAATAAACAGTTACAAGAGTAACTAGTTTTATCCTAAAGTACACATGTGCTACACAATGTGGTATATATATGGGCTAGGGTGTCATCGATATTGTTCTAAAGGGGGATGTTGATGTGACAGGAAACAATTAAAAATAAAATGAAGTTTTCCACATAATGAGGTAATCTAAGTATCAGGTGATGGTTCAAACCAATCACTGCTGCGAATTTCTGATAAATCAACCCTACTTAAGAATAATTTTAATGCTGCCTGGTTTTAACATAGAACTTTGCACAGATGTGCAGCAGTTCCAGTTGTCACTCTCCCTCCATTTAACACACAAAGCAAGAGAAAAGAGTAAACAAAGATAATAAACAGAAGTTAAGTGCGTGTGAGAGAAAGAATAGTAATGCGGATGAAGGACAGAGTTTTATTGGATATGACAGATGACAAAGAGTGAATGCATCTGAGCTGTCATTAACAACGACGATTTTAGTCATATCACCTATTGTCTCCAGCCGTCATTGGTTCTTACCGTCCCAAGGAATCCAACCAGACAGCAGTCTACACCTCCCTACATGGCTGGCTTAAACTGACTGTTGTGAATTTCATTGACTGATATCATGTTTTCTTTTGACCACCACTAGCTCTTTTCCAACCTGATCCTATGTTAGCTAACATTGCCCGTTGATGAAAGCTATGGCTAGACTGGACTTGCGTAACAAATGCCCTGACCATCTCAATCGATGTAACTTCAAAACCTAGTAGATTGATTTTCCCTCCTTAACTAGCACCCGACGCCTAACATCAATATTTCTCAACCTATTATGCCACCTAACATGGTATAAAGACACCTGTGATCAAAGACAGCTAGACTTTTCACGTCTTACACTTCCAGTGCCCATGTCTCAGAGCCATAAAGGAGGATGGAGCGAACTGCTGAGCAGTATACACATCATTTGATTGACAGACAGTTATTACGTCTACACCGGAGATGACGTAAGTTATCAAATGTTAAACGAGCCTTCTGTATTCCTGCTGAGATCTAGTCAGCCATCAGTCCATTCGGCCTGATGCAAATTCCCAAATAAGTGAAGTGGTCAAAACGCTCTAACACTTCACTGCCTATCTCTAAGCTACGAATCGATGTATTCCAGTCCTGTAGCATCATCTTACATTTGACAGGAGCCAGTCGTATGTCAGACATTCGAAGATGCTGCCCAAGGTGTTCAGAAGATTGTATTTTGTCAGTTAGCGTCATCACCTAGGAGGACTACATCATCTACATATTTTAAGTCAACGAGACTTTACCGTGGTAATCAGTCAATCCCTAAGTCGCTAAAGTCAGTTAGGGTTAAGTCCACCAGTACATCTATGGTGAAATTGAAGAGAAATGGGGATAGTGGGCATCCCTGATTGACACCACTTGTTATCATTACTTCAGATGACAATTCTCCCTAAACTGTCACCTGGCTGCATGAGTTCGAGTAGAGTGACTTGGTCAGTGCTCTGTATTCTCCTTTTCATGCTGTTCATCTACACGAAGTTGAAATTTACTGTGACATTGGTTCACGACAATGGTTTTATTTTTATCCGAAATACCTATCTTAGATAAGACTGTTCAACACTAAATTTTATTAAAGCTTAATTCCACACAGTATTTTGGTACAAGTATGGAATTTTCAGCATTTGATATCCGTAGCCCAAATCTAGCAGGCCGACCATTGATATCAGGTGTGCGTCGGCCGGGGATCGAACCCCGGACCATGTGCATAGTTGACGAGCGTCCTAACCGCTGTGCCATCGTTAATTATAATTTCCCTCCATAGCAATTCGACTGCTATGAACATTACTACAAGATGTTTATTTCTACAACATTTTGTATTTCATTAAAGTTTGCAATAATAACAACCGAAATTAAGTTAGTAAAACCAAGCTAATCATAAATAATGTTATTATACATCTGCTTTTTTATTCAGCGGTCGTTGGCTACTTTGCGGATGTGTCTTCATACGAAGGATTAATATCAATCAAGGAATATATGAACGTCTACGACCTACCGTACGAAACTTCCTTACAATCTGGTAGGTGTACATTTTGTTGAGCTTTTCACACTTTTAAATAATTTGTGGTTGTACATTATGATAAAAGCGAAAACATTACTAGTTGGTAAGAAATGCGATTCAAATAATACGGTAATAACAAAATTCCGCTGATCAAGTGAACAGTCATCACTGATTGAATAAGTACCTGTTTACACTTAATCGATAGATAGCTGAATTGGTTGCCATCTGGCTTCACTCAGTGCACCCTAGCCTCTCCTGAAAGTGAGTCGTGGCACCATGAACGAAGTGTTAAAATATCTGGATTCGGAATTGAACGGTGCAAGCGAGAATCCAATACGGACTATACACTTGTCAATTAGTACTAAACACCACGAGTTCGTCCTGTCACTTCGTTTCCAAGGCCGAATAAGAAAATATTTTATTTTATAAACTTAATCAATTCTCATACAATTAATTCCACGATAGATTTGAACAAAAGAAGAAAGACAAAATTCTCAGTGTGAAAGTTTTACTTTATTGGCTCATTCAAGTTTTCAAGTGATTATGCAGAAAGTAATGCAAATTAGAGTATTCGAAAATACCGACAGAAAGAACACCATGAGTTGAAACTTAGATCATAGGCAGATTATCTTATATTAGATGAAATGATACAAAGTAGTACAGAAAAGGTGGAGAGTAATGTATGGAATATAGTAACCATGACAAACCTTAAACGCTTCCCCAGTGAATTTGAAGTGGCTGAAAAATACTGACTGTAGCAAGCTAGAATAGACGCTGTTAATCACTCACAGCACCTCAAAACAAAACAGCACATGACTGGTCACTAGAATACTATTCCCACACTAACAAGACAAACTCAAAAAGCAAGATTCTTTACTCCAATAAAAGGGAAAATGACCGGGAAATAGAGCCATTTTACATGATCAACAAATTACATGGTTAGAATACAAAGACTGTTTCGATATACGAACCAAGAAAAAGTTAATAACACGACCAGTCAATTAGGTTAAGGTTTAATGTTAGGCCCATAGTTGAAGTAAAAACCAATGATTCATAATAAATCTTCTGTTTAGCTCAACAGTTAGGCATCTGACCCTTTCAATTTATTTCCACCGATATCTTTCAACGAATGACTTGGGATGTTACATAAGTTTGGTCCATGTCATTTACATTAGAAATCCAGCGTAAGTCTGATTTCTATGTTGGAAATATTACTCGATTAAAAACGCAAAGTCAGTAGGTCAATATACAGAAAATACACATAGGCAGAGCACTACACGAAGTTTAGTAACCTCGTGCCACCATGGCAGAACATAAGTCTGAAATAGTATCTGGCACCTACAAATAAGAAAATGGATTCCCATGAGATGTAAGACAGGGATATGAGTGAGTTTTTAATGTAGCACAGTTGTCCTGGCAAGTGTAGTAAGAATGTGGTAGAGAGAACCGCTAGGATTGCAGCTCAATCTGTCCCTAAGAAGCTGCAGCATAAAGAAAATCCAATATTTTGTGTACAGCTTTCTAGTCATTTTTAGAATGTGTTTTGGTGTTGGGATCATCCTTCTTTTGAGTACAAAATACGGGGTCTTACAACTATACAAACATATAGGGAGTTATAGGCTGAACTTCCATCGTACTACTTAAGGTTTTTCGAACCAAGGTCAATTGGAAACAATCAGTAGCTTCGAATGTGTACATCTAAGTGAGACAAACCACTCCACTAGACTAAACACATCTTTCGAAGCTATCTATCAAGTCAATTACTACATGGCATTAACATTCCGGAGAAGTGCTTGGTGTAAGAACTGTGAATTTAAAATTATGCATACGGCGAGAACTTGTTCACACACCAACTGATTTCTGGTATTTTAATGACTAAGTAATATAATCATTTTGGGCTTTGATTGATTTCACGTGCAAACCATAGTGAAGTGATATTTATTCGGATTTTAACTACCTCTGTTTAAAGGTGTGTTAATTACTCATAGATTGAATTTAGTCTCTTTTCCTAACTGTTTATTTATCTACTTTTTTTAAAATCAATGTTGACTTTGCATAAGACTTGAGAGAAATATTACGCAACATAAACTCCAAGCCAATTTTAGCAAATGTAATTTGATTCACCATTTATGTTTATTTTCATTACGCTTAACCACGAAATTACTAGAAGAAGCTCATAATCCGCAACTGTCACTTTTTGGACAATTAGGTTCACACAGGTTTTATTACACGATCATATACGAGTTACGCTTACTGTACTCGGACAAGAATTTCCCTACTCATCAAATTTTTAAATACTAAAAGCGCAGGTTTATCTTTCATTGGTTCTCGCAATACAAAAACACTTTAAATTAACTTAATTTGTGAATAAAAATCGACAAGTATTCACTTTTCTAAATTATATGTCAGAATCAGTGAACCTTAATAAAAACAAACAAAATATACAAGTCTTAACGATTAACAAAATGAAAATAACGGAAACCTTTCTTGTTTTCTGCCTATAGAGCTAACATGGCCAGTTCAAAAGAACTCATTCTTTTATACCTGAGGACAATCAGAATTAAAACTATCCACTTAGTTACTGGTGAAAAAAGTGATTGGAGCTTCTGAAACCCTTCTCTAAAACTTCTGGCACATCAACGACTATACAATAAACTGTACTTTTGTTCATTTAGGTGTTATTTAACAACTTAAGAATACAAATGCATCCTTTAAAAATGTTTGTGTTTGATTTGAAAAGCCTCAACTGATTTCTAGAAAGCCACTGGTCAGTGTTTCTTTCGTTGCAACTGGAACGCAGTACACATCAACAGTAACAGAAACAGAGTTATGACTCTTTTTTCAAGACGACCACAAATCAAAAGGTAAACAGACATCTACCTTGAATTCAGTTTTAGTAACGTCCAAGTCAACATCAAAAAAATTTCATTTCAAGACCACGCACGTTAATTAGTCCACTGGCGAAAAAATGTAATTTTGGACTGTAAAAAGGTATCTAGTTACGTTTTTCGCAATGAATACTATTCGATAACCATAAATCCATATATTACAATCTAGGAATAAAAACACGAAGAGCGTCAACCTTTGCATAAAATGACCCGGCCAAAATAGTATGTTGGTCTACGTTTTAACAACATTAAGCGATACATAGCAGTTATCAGCAAATAAACAGCCCGAAATCTATGAGGGACAATGATTGCGTGCAAAGTATGCGTATCAATAACTTAGGTATTATAGATTACGACTCTAACAGCATCGACAAATATTCCAAATGTATATTATTTCTATTCAAAATGTAATTTACTTCTGATCCACATGTCGAATATATACATAAGATACTTTTCTAACTGAATTTACATCGATATAGTTTGAAATGCAGTGCACTAAAATATTTACTGTCAACATTTTGAATGGATATACTAATACTGAAGATGGTTCAAGGTGATAAATTTCTTCACAAATTTTGTAATTCTGTCAAGAGCTCAGTGAAACATGTATAGTGAAACTATTAGATAATATAGGTATGCCAGTAATGAGTTTACGTGAGTCAATGCCAAGGGAGTCTCTACACTCCGAAAGATCTTCAGTAACCTAAATTCCATAATTTATGTGCATCTCTTCTAATGTCAGTTCATTTCTGCGTGTATTTTTTATTTGTGGAGTTTCGAAGACTGGAACAATGAACTGTGACATTAATGCAAAGTATGAAATGTATCCACCGACGTCATTTATAACACACCTCTGTGAATCAGGTACTTTGAGGCAACTTTTGTGAATTATCAGCACACAGGTCACTAAACGAAAGTTAGCTATTTAGAACGAGTCACAACTTTTCAAAACACGAACCATTCCTTCAAATTCATTGAGCAGTGAATTCTTGTTATAGGTCATCAACTAAAGACTAGAAACATGACTTGATCATCTTCATCGGATTTCCTGGAAGACGAAGTAATGTGTAAATGCTATCAATATTATCCAATTACAAAGAAGTACTTTTAAAAACGAATTAAAACTTTGCTAGGCGCGATAATTCTGTTCTGATTCTTAAAGTCAAACAGTATTCAGAATGGTTAGTTTGTGAGTTAGTACTCAATTACTGGTAACAGATTTCTCATGTACTTTGCTATGAGCCACACCTGTGTGAGGCTGATCATACTACTCAACTGCCCAGGCTATACTATGTTGAGCAGGACTTGAATACAGGACCTTCTGGTTGAAAGTCGGTTCACTTCTACCAGTGAGCTATTCAAAGATTTCAGTGTGAAATTCACTATTCACATTCCTACAGGAAAAAATGAAGCCATAGATATCAAAAATCAATTATTCTCCACTTTTTATATCATTACCTTGAGATAGTATCAACGTCAGAAGTACAAACTATCGGAAAAAAACAAAACACTAAACAGCATTTCATGCTAACAGTAAGATTGAATCGTGAAAATCAGAACACCATTACAACAAAGCAATGGTGATAAAGAGGACGGATAAGCTACTTTACACAACACTGTTTACTTGATTTACATGTATCAGATTTTCGAATATTCATAATGCCTATATTTATATTAAGGATGAAATGTGTATCATAGCACTTACAGTTTAGTACGTTTACACAAATACATCAACAAAAATACTTTGTAGAAAAGAAGAACAAACAAGGAAAAGTTAGAGTTCAGAAAATAAATAAACACAGCCGGATAAAGAAAAATGCCCACTGCAACCGCAAAAGAGAAAAAATTTGTGATAGTCATATAGGGTGATGAAATCACGAAATGGTCAAAAGTACCACACATTGCGTAGAATCAACCAAAACGATCCTGAAAAAGAAGCAATAACAATATTATTAACTAAAATTGGTTTGGATTGGTGTGGTAACGTTGAAATTGTGAAATTTATCTATCAAACAAATACTAATTTATGGATTATTAAGTCAGTGAAATATTCAAGTGTCAGAGAACGCCTCACAGCATTGAACACGTTTTCATCAACTATAATTTACTTGTAGCACAAACAGCAAGTGAAGCGTGCACATTTTGCGTAAAATGACTCCGAGAATAATCTCCAAAAGAAAACAATTCAAATATCGAGTGATTAAAGTTTGTATTCTGTTGAAGGCAATAAGTGCGTTTAATGTACACGATAATCGACTGCCTTTTTTCATTGTTTGAGTTCGGAGTGGGACATAAGACTTCACGCTTTTGAAGTTTCATTAGCTGTGATGGTGATTTTACTGGGTGACGTCTCTAGTCTCACGTCTAACATTCCTCCTTTTCCAGCCTTATTATCGTTAGTAAACTAGGTGGAGTTACGAGTGTGCCTACGAGGAATCTAATCTGAACCCTATGCATGGTTGGTAAGCATTCTAATCACCATGATTAGCATTATATGACAATAATAGAAGCTCTTCTTTATAAGTATATGGAATCTAACAGTGTCTGACAAACTGTTAATTTTGTGATTTTCTTATTGAGATGGATTTTAATCACCAGTTTTAACCTAGGTAGTCAAACGACTAATCAATTAGCCCTTTAACATCGTGATGAAATTTACCACTAAACTTTACGCTGTCTCCAGCAGCGGTTCAGACCAACCAGACCATAATATCCTATTATGAAATACAATGCATTAAAGCGTTGCACCACTCAGCTTAATGTTGACACTGAGAACTTGATTGACAAGCTACAACTAAATTCGAACATAAAACATGAACACTGTTTATCATCCCATCACCAATATACGCAATGTAATAAGCTTGGTTATTCGGGACATTTTGTACACTAGGCGGTTATGGATCACACTTATTGTGTGAGGGCTGGTGAAACTAGTCAAGTTGAAGTAGGTCCTGTTTCACTACTACAAATCAAAGCAAAATAATTCCTTGGCTTAAGTAATCCGGTAAAAACGCTAACTTCTGTTCCGCTAAAATTTGCTTCTCTCAGCACATCAGCGTAATTCGAACAATTCCGATAGCGTCGAGTTAGTATGATGACGAATTTCATTAGGTAAGTGTCTGTGAATACAGACCAGTGAGAGGATTTGAGTAGAAGATAAAAACAACAAATAAATTTTACTGTCGAAGTTATAAATAACGACTCCGTTTAATTCTACCTAGCAGTGTAATTTGATAGCAAATACTAAATTTATTAAATGGGGAGATGTTTTCGCTTCTCCCCAATAAAGTCTTCAGTCTCATAGAAAGTAAAAATTTTGCAGTGTAGAATCCAATTAAGTGTTTTTTTCCAGAGTGTCTCCATAAGATGGAATGGGTTTATGCGACAGTAAACTTTCTTTCAGCATTAACCCTGACCCCAATCGACGCCAGATTTGCTCCAGTGAACATTCCGGCACAAACTAAAAGCTCCGTGAGCGTGTGAACATTTCTCCCTAAGAATATGAACCGAATCTAATATGCTGAAACATAAAAACTAAAATATAGATTGGGATTGAAAACATCAGTGAGCGACGCTATTCCAAGCCTACATAAAATTTATCATGAAGCCAATCTGGACTGAAAAATACCTATCATTTAATATTATAATCCCCATTTCTGGTTAGTGATATCTTTCTCAGAAAGAATTTATTGGAGATAACTAGGCGATCTGAAAACATCTGGTGAAAGTTGAAGCGGAAAAACTTGGGTGGATAACGAGTGACCTACAGTCTTTGGTAACAAGCATTTTGGACTTGAAAATTATTAGACTTAGCCAGTGTCTTAATATCCACCACTTTCAATGATCACACATCACAGCCATAAAAGAGGAGCGAACTGCTGAGCAGTGTACACGCCCTTTTCTTGGCAGCCGGATGTCACGTCTACCCAGCCAGAGATGGATTAAGGTGGTAAATGCCAAACGAGCCTTCTGTATTCCTGCTGAGATCTAGTCAGCCATCAGTCCATTCGGCCTGATGCAGATTCCCAAATAAGTGAAGTGGTTAAAACGCTCTAACACTTCACTCCCTATCTCTAAGCTACGAGTCAATGTAGACCTATCTTGTAGCACCATCTTACATTTGACAGGAGCCAGTCGTATGTCAGACATTCGAAGATGCTGCCCAAGGTATTCAGAAGATTGTATTTTGTCAGTTAGCGTCATCACCTAGGAGGGCAATATCATCTGCATACTCTAAGTTGATGAGATTATTCCCAACTACTTGTCACATCATATCTGAGAAATATTAGCATCACTGTGAAAACAAATTATCTTTTGTAAAGAAAGCTGTTGTATGTCCGGTGAGAAATCAATTGTACTTCATCCATGTGTTGGTGAACCAGATGATGAAAATCGTCTATTATTTGGCTATATCTTATACTGACATTTTAAACAAGCTAAATATAAACTTAAATCTGAGGACTATTTGGGAGGTTTAAAGTACAAATGTATTAATTTGTCCCTTGCTTTACAACCAGTGAAACATTAACGCCTGAACCTGAGTCTAGGACCCATTATTTGAGAAAAATGAGTAAAATGCCAAATCGGTATGTAAAGTTCATCATGCTCTTGAATACGATCTTCAGTGTGCAAGTTAATGACCTCCCAGATGGTATACATATGAAACTATTTTATATTCAGCGAAAAATTTAGAAATATTGTAGAAAAGTTCTACGGCATTATAGCTACTACTATGATAACTTCTGAAAACGCCGTATTGTTGAAATACTCAACAAAATAGTATTCATTAAATCAATCACAGTAATGCGCGAGAGTTGTACAATTAAATGTGAAAATTCACTCAGTTTTGAGAAATGTCAACAAAGAATGTTCAGGCTGTGAATAGTTTACTATATAACCTAAGTGAATTTCAACAACACTTGTGACTACATGCTAATTGACTTAAGCAACGCAAATATTTCATTAAAGATGGATTGAAAATCATTTTTAAATCTTAAAGCAGTTATCCACGAAAGGTTGGATGATTTCATCGAGACAAAAGACCTGGACAGTCTGAGAACTATATAATTCTATAGGATTTTTTAAAATATAAAACCAGTTTGCATGATGAAAAGTTGGCACAACAGAAAAACGCAAATATGATCAGCAACGACATAGGCATTCACCGATAAGTTTAGCTACAAGAGGGTGAATTAGATTATGACAAAGAAAATGAACAACTAAAAATCAATATAAACTCATGTATCACAGCATTTAACTTGCCTGGAGCGTATGAACCATATCATTCGCCAAATGTGACAGACGACCAGCAACTTTGGTCACGCTTTGTTTAACACCATCTTTGATATTTTGCAGTTCATTAGACATCTGTGATTGTTTTACCTTAGGACGACCAAAATAATCATCACTAGAAATGGATGAACTGCCTTGGAATCTTGAAAGTCCATCAGACTCAGACTAGTACAATTGATAAACAAGAGAATTCAATAAATAAAGGACAGTCATATTCCCTTTCCAAAATTAAAAGAAAAAAATTGTATATTATTAAAATAAAAAGCCAAACTAATTTGACTTTTAAAATTGTAGGTAAAATTATCATTCTTATAAATGATTAATTGTAATTCATTTCAAAACCATATTCCGACAGAATGAACACACTATACTTGCGTATCGAATTAGGAGTATTTTTCTTTGTTAGTATTATTTATGAGGATTCACGTATTCATATTTTAAATATACTACTTCCAATAGTAAATTTAGAAGTTAAAACTTTGTAGAGTATAAATTGGAGGTATCAGTTGCAATAGTTTAAAAACTAGTGATTAAAAAGAAGAAGGCTGATATAATCAAGAAGAGGTGCACAAGGGATAAATATCAAAAACAAACACAGGAACAAGTATAAAATGTGTGATGTGTACAGACTTATCCATTAAAGCGAATTCTAAAATATGTTGAAATAAGCACACAGCCTGACAAGAAATGCTACTCTGTCTGCACTGTTGAGCGCCAGTGACTACTACTACTACCACAATTGCACTAGGAAGTGAAAGATTTTAAGGAAACACAGGGATGGTATCATATTAGTTTCACATGGGGGACTCGAACAAAAGACTTATATAAACTACTTAAGAGCAAGTGACGAAAACCGTAACATCAAGACTAGACTTTCGGATGCAATAGATAGAATCATCAAAAGTTTTTCTACACAAACCAGTGTTGATGCTTTTTTTGCCGGTGGAAAACAAATTACATCACAAAGGTGCTATACGACTCAGAAATAAGATATAGAGATTAAACAGTTCTAATGAATTAGAACTTTTCGCTTACACCTTTGATTTTCCATTACACAGAACTGGTTAATTTTACTACCTTGAAGCAGCGGTTTACACCACAATACATTCATTTGACAAATCAAAATTCATGTGTGGATACTAATATTGGAAAGATAAGGCCCCCGGAGTCGAAGCAGCTGCTGTCTACTTCAAGTTAGATTGTCACCAGAAATTTAATAGAACTAATTTGACCTCTTAAAATACACGAGAAGAATGAAACTGCAAGCTTTAACATCAAGAATAGTCTGCATTTGAAGATTACCAAGACAGGATGAGACATGTATTCAATACACCCTGATTTACGATGATTCTCTAATCAATGTTAGCTCGTTTGAAATACACATAAAATTTGCACTTGATTTACATTTATGATGCAGTGAATAGTTTAGAGTAACGCAACAATGCGTCACACACTATTACTAGTTAGACAATAATAATAAGGCTTTATTTCAAACAATATGTGAGCATATATTACAGAAATTGTCAGTGTATTTAGTTCCAAATTATCTCCTCTTCATACAGGGTTTAATTATACAGTAATCTGAAGTATGTGACATAGCGTTGCTGTATATAGGAAGAGAAAAAACTCTGTAAGTTTTTTCTTCACTTTTTAAGAATTGAATAGCGTCTAATTGGAAGCCAATTAAATAGGCGCGCGAGTTCATGTAGCGGTCATATGATACAATTACATGATTAAACAGTAAGAAATGCAGAAGAGTTTAAGCATTGTGATGAATGAGAATTCTGGTAGCCTAGTGATTTAAGCAGGCCGCCGTGTAATGGTTGTAAGTCATTCGGAATATTAGCACAAACTCTACTAGGAAGATTTTATAATTTTGTTTTCTATAAAACGTCAAACGATAACTCTAAGATAACAAAATACAGATTCCGCAATTGAAAGTTCTTACTCAGGTATGACAAATTTTAATCTCATGATTTAAAAAGTGATATCCGCTTGTAAGTAGTTCTCCTTATTAACCACAACAGGAAGGATGACCAATAAAAATTAGAAAGCAGTAAACAAACTGTGTTACTGTCATGGATCCCTACAAGGAGTGGGAACCACTCACCTCCTCGATGCTGAATTTCTAACCTTAAATTTACAAATAAAGTAGTATCTCCCAACTATAGTCAGCTTCACACACATAGTATTCAAATGAAGATAAAATTAACAAACAGTTTTTAGGAATTTATCGAAACCCACCTCATCTCGATCAAAAAATGCATCTGATGATATAGAAGTTGCATTAGCAAACTTTTTGATCAACTCATCGGAATCTGATTTTGTATCTGGCTTTACAGATGACAGGCTTGAAGGTTGTTTACTGGGTGACTTATTGCTGACATCCTCCGTAACAGAATAGTTTTGTGTCTTTCTTGACTTTCGATCGAAAGGATCCGAGAAATATTCATCCCATTCATCACCTCTTTGCTTGCCTTTTGACCATTCCCCATTAATGCCTGAAGAAGCTGTTGAACCTCCTTTCACACACACACAGGAGAAACAGGGTAAGATAGTTATGCACTGACAGTCTGTTCAAAATAACTGATTTTAAACGCAAAATATGAAATGATTTCACGAATGAAACATAAAAATAAAGAGGAATTTCGAGCTGATGGAAATTACATGAATTAAACACAAATTTCGTAAATATTAATCAGAAATTCTAGATGACCACATTCATTGGAAGAACTAGTAATTATGATGTAGTTAAGATGGTATCCACGTGAAATCCATTCCCTATCAGGACTTGTAATGACAGCAAACAGCTATTATTTCATTGATTTTAACAGGCTATTCATTCAGTGCTAAATGATATGAGCCGTACGAATAAAAAGGAAGAGCCATGGCTTTCTGAATATCCATGTATGATTTTTCCATAAAAAAATACACATATGCAAATTTATTCTGACAACAATCAAAAATCTCCATACAGCTAATTACTCACAGTTACTAAACAGCAGGTAACAACTAACAGTTTTCAAAACAGTGGCTTAATCATGCTCAAATATTACAAAATTCCCATTGTTAGAATTTACTGCAGTATAAAGTAAAAATACTGCCTCCACATCTTGTTTTAATATGCAACCAGAGTCATCTTTTAAGAATATCTGCAAGGTGAGACCGAATAGTACAATGGGTCTTAGGTTTCCACATTTGTGTATGACGGAGGCTATAGCGATTTGTCACTACAACTCCGAATTCTGTGTGCAGAAAAGGTTTCGTGGACTTAATCTCTTTTCCAATCGTTTACTTTTATTTGTAGTAATTAATTCACTATTATTACTCTTACATGTTCCTTTCGTACATTTCTTCACACTTGTTAAATAGACATTAATATATATTTGTTTTCCTTCACGTTCCCCGGTGGAACATAGGGCTTCAAGCTAGTGACTTGAAGTTTCTGTAGCAGTGTTTATTTTACAGGATGGGGTTGCTAGCCTCATGCCCAACCTTTACTCTACACCAGCATTATTTCTGGCTCAGCGAGGTAAAGGAGTGCGTCGGTCGGGGATCGAACCCCGGACCATGTGCATGGTCGGCGAGCGTACTAACCGCTATGCCACCGACGCACAATATATATATATATATATATATATATATATATATATATATAATCTTAACCATTAGTGATGATTTGTGGGTCAATGGTCTGTGTTAAGTGTGCCAGTAATAAAAACGATAATAATAATAATTTCGATAATAACGTTAGTGACAGGTGGCAATAGGAACAGTGAAGAATAGCACGATAATTTAGACATTGCAATAATCAAATTAGGTCTGAATAAATCTGATAAATGCATGAAAAGTAAGTCATTTGAACAAAGCGATTTCCAGTTTATCAAGGCAGATAATTATAGGAATTTATTTGTTCAATCTATTTTGGCAAAGGGAGGGACAAAAGTAAAACAATCTTTTTTCTAATGAACATAATGGGGTTATTTCCCCCGAATTTTAAATGGCTTCAACTGTGCAAAAGACGTCTTCGAATTATATTCGAAAGTTCCGATAGGATACGATAAATAACCATAAAAGCACTTTTCTATCTACCTGGTTACCGGTAAAAATCAAATGAGGTAAAACTACATTTCTCATTGATTTCATCTGACATTTTCCTAGGAAGGTGTCCAGCAATACATCTGTTAAGTTGCCTAGTTGTTCGTTCTATACAGCTTTACCCACAGGTAGCACAGCATAGTAGCAGAACTAGTTGAAAATAATGCTATTCGGTTAACGATGTGCTATTGCTCACATAACCATGCCTACCTGAATTACTATATTTATTTATACAGCTATGCTAAGATACCATATATCGCCACATGATTTCTCATTTAGAAATCACAGCAGAAGACAATGTCCGCCTTATGGTGTAAGATGACGATCAACCTGTATACACACACCCTTTATTGGTCTTATTTTGATTCCCTTGACCTCTTATTTATTACAGAAGCATTCAAATGGTGAAAAGTAATTTATCCAGTAATTGAAAAATTGTCAACAGATGATATATATCTAGGGGATAAAGATGCCAAATGTGAAGGCTTTACAGAAGTAGATATCAGTGATGTAGATGAGGCTTAGAAAAACCTACACTAAGTACGTGGTTCCAAATTAGCTAGTCAATATCTAGCTATTGGAAAATTTGATTCAATGATTAAAATTATACAAACGGAGTGCATAAGAGATGAAAAACACACAACTAGTATAAGATTTTCTCAACAATTATTCCTTCGCCATTGGTTCAAGATAAGGGAAGGATTACTTTAGGCTGTCAAACATCAATCCTGTTAATAATTATAACTATGTGCATAGACAAAGAAATATTAGTTACAAACCGAATAAATGATCATCCGTGGAACGGAAAAAGTTATTCGTATCACGATCTCGACTACCATAACTTGAAGTGAAGAAGGGATCTAAAGTTGAACTGGTCGATGATGAAATGTGAGTAGGTTCTGAATTCTCCTGCTCTATCCTTTGAACATTTGCAAATGCTGAATGAGATATTTCCCTGAGAAGAAAGTAATAATCGCGAAATATTTAGAACAGAAAATTTGACGTGAATTTCAAAATTCAAACACTATGAAATACTTGAATAATTAGGCGCTATCAACGAAATTAAATCGCCCAATGCTAAAATCCCAAATACAATTTCAAATTATCAGAAAGTTTTAGTTGATGGAATTAAAAGTGTGGTATAACAGTCTAATTATCCCAATCGCCATTTAGTGAGTCATAAATATTACTAATAACAAAGTCCCGCTAAACTCCATGATGAAACAAGCAGTTTGAATGAGCTAAACCTCAACTTTCAAAAAGGGTGAGTGCAAAATAACTTACCGTTGCTAGTCAATTATATTACTTTTAGATAAAATTTCTTAGGCACTTAATCTGGATTTTAGAGACCAAAAATATCCAAGTTTAAGATATGATAAAGTTAAGGTTAATGTGCTTGAAAATTCCCTAAACATAACAACACCATTTCTTGAAAAGCATCAGAGTGAATTTTTTTAGAGATTTGGGTTGCTTTTGTGTGCTAAACTAGAAACGCGTCTCTATACGCAGACTACCTTTACCCTAGAACACCTTGCTATCCAAAACAGTTTTATTTGTTTATACATGCGACAATTCACATACATTAAATATGTGGACACCAATCTATGAGAAATGGAAATCGCTGGATTTCTCTTAGTTGTACAGAAAACAAGTTGATAACCAACAATATTAACGCAAGTCGACAGACTACAATAAGCTGCTTGTTAGTCGAATTAAGCTAACACATTTCCATATGATTATCATAAGAAAGTACAGCTTTCAGTAAGCTGTTCAGCGCTTCAGTATTTATTAAAGATATATGACAAACATTTACTAATTCAACAAGTAAATACCTTGACATGGAGAATTAAAAGCCATGTTATTCAATTCATTACGAATAAATATAGAACTGTTGATTACATTCAATCCACTCACTGACTATTATTATTATAATTCTCTTGAGTTCCCTGTGAAAACGGAGCTTCAATAGCATGTCTCCACTTTGTTCTGCTTTCTGCGGTCCTCTTTAGCTAGTTCTTACTAGTTCTTTCTGGCTGGCCATTTGATCTTCAGTATGGAGCCAGCGAAGGTGGCAGCTGTTGATAAAAGTCTGCAGTAACCTGTTGGAAATGCTTTGCGTAACACGCAGTGCAAGTTTCTAACCAATTTAGAACAACTGACTCAATGACTGACTGATTTCACATTTGTGTTGAAAATCCAAATCTTCTTGATGCTGGTTGAGTGCAGAAGATTCCCAAACTGCTTTCAGGTTGATGAACGCACATCTTGCCTTTCCGATTCTGGCTGACTTTGACATCTCCATCTGTCCCGTCTACCTGTGGTTGAAACGATGCTTCTCAGATAAGTGAAGCCAGGAAGTAACTTCTGTCAAATGTCTACGTTGGTGCTACTGGTTGTTGTTGCTGTTGGTGGTGGCTAGTTGGCTGGCTGTCTTCATCACATCCGTCTTCTCTGTGTTCACCTGGAGTCCTGTCTTCGCTGCCAGTCTCCTCAGCCAGTTTGTTGCTTTCCGCCTGCTTCTAAGTCTTCGAGTTTGTGTGACACTATACACATGTCGTCTGAGAAACCCAGATCTTCTAGAGTCTTCTTATCAGTGGTCCAGCGTACTCCTGTCTCCCCGCTCCTCACAGTCTGACACACAATCCAGTCCACCACAGTTAGGAATATCATCGGTGATAATAGGCAGGCAGCTTTGTCTTACTCCTGTATTCACCTCGAACGCATCTCTGAGCTTCCCGTTGTGGATCACCTGGCATATGGCAGGCATTGTCATATAGCCAGCTGTTGAATGAGGTCGATAAAGACTTGGGCACTGCACACCATAATGTTGGAGCAGTTTGGTGTGACTAATCGATGTTAAAAAAATTCAGTGAACATAAAAACCGAGTACACAATGAAATCTGATCTTCCATTAGTTTGCACTCATGCACAGAAAAATTAATTACGCGAGACTTCTTGGTTGATGTCTTGTGTAACAAGACTGATATTCATACAAAACAGTAAACAATAATCTACAATTTCCTTTTCTTTACAATGGTTAAAGAGGATACTAATATAACATTATAGTATGATTATTTCTACAACAATAAGTTACACAGTTTCAAATGCAGAAATTGATACGTAACACGAGTCACGCTTCACTACTCTGTGTCCAACAGTAAAGGTATGACAGAAAATCGTAAGGACTTAACCAGAGGGCTGTATCTTGGTTTTAAATTCCACCTCACCTACTTCTACCCAGACAGATGTAGAATATTATAAACCTGTGCACACCAACTGTTGAACGGATAAATATATGAAAAGACAATGAGTGGATTGATAACTTTACTTGTTTTATTACGTACACAGAAGTAGGCATCTCTAAGCATGACTAATTTCCGTCTATATCATACACCCATGCACTATACTATATGATTGTATAGCACACTAAAAGTACAGTTTCAGTGTATACTCTAGATTGAATAGGTATTTATCGATCTAGACATACTCTACAGGACTGTAAAACAACAGACTTTTCTACGTCAAACCCTCATGAAATAAAGCCAATCCGAAACCACCATGGTGTAAAATATATAGGATAATGTTATGATAATATTGTAGATTATAGCTTTTATAAATACTCCCTAAAAAATTGAAGTTTTTTAGTACCGAAACAAAGTATATGAGATTTCTTGTATCAGTTTCTAGTGGATGAAAATATTTCCTTTTTAGTTTTCCAATGTGACAATTTATGCTTCAGGAGTTAAAATCGCGAAATGCAGTTTCCTGACCTATTAAGAAAGCTTACGGTAAACAGTTTGTTAAATCAGAATGTGGAAGGCCTTATTTGTTTAAAATCCGTTGGTGTTATCAGTGTACACGTGAATCATAGTGAAGATCAGATATGGTGCTACTTAACAGTCATATGCAATGATATGTACTGGATGGTGAGCCATACCTATTTTGTCAGGGCATATGACACCGAATGGCTATCCAAATCTCGGTAGGTTACGTGGAATTTGGACATGTGAACCAGTGGTTGAAAATTCGGCTCTACGACACAACTTCCAAAAAATGAAATGGTCTTGGTCGAAAGAATAAGTACGTGAATAATATAATGCATGTGCAAAGCCAGAAATGCTTTACAACTACTCGTAAACTCAAGGAAATAAGAAACACGAGGTTTCTGCAAAAATCAAGTGTATTGCCGATAAATTATGAGAAACAGAACTCTGCTGACAAATTACGTTTGATCTATTAGAGGTGGAGATGCAGTGAATCTTTCTTAGTGTTATAACACTAGCAGAGAATACCACCTTCATAAAAGACAAGCTGGGAGACTGCCATGACGACGCAAAATACTCACTAAGTTTACCTATAACTCTTAATTTTTCCATGCTTCTGAGAGAGCAAAAGATTTCGCAGAAATGTTAACTAACTGCATCTTAGTTAACAGTTTGACGAGAAAGATCTATGACAAAGTGGCGACCTTCACACCTACATGGTGCCATTCGCCCCACTTTTACGGTAGTGTTAAAACATGTTCCTAATAAATGACCTTAGATGCTACAACCTTACCGATTCACTACCAGAATGAGACTAATGTTAAATGGCACCTTTAACTGTATCGATAGATAATGCTTCTAGTACTCACTTTGGACCTGTGGCTCAGCCATATTGATAAGCACAACACAAAACCGTTGTACAAGAGAGTAACTCGTGAATCCTTGTAGAACTCTGCACGGATGTGTATGAATTTAGGCTGCCATGCGTCAAAAAATCACGAATGAAATGATTCAGAGAACAAATATGTTACTAATGATTCTCAGATTTTATGGGAATTGCTCTAAAACAAACTTCTTCTTCTTTAACCATATCACTAACTTAACACACATTTTCTGAAATGTTTGAAAAGAGAAAATAATGTTTATTTGTAAAATTGCTAGGTTTATATTAAACATGATCCCCTCCTTTCTAATTCATCAGGCGCTATATGACACATTGAAATATGTACAGTCATTTCGATACATATGTACATTTATTTATAATTGAACCAACCTTATTGGTGTCGATGTTTATTGAGTTTTTGTGGTTAATTTTGACTTTGAGTTTCGACGACTAACAAGGTATTGATGACTATACCTGTTGACTATACCTAGTGTATACTACCATTAAGGAGTTACAAAATATGTTAGAAAACAGAATCGAAACATTTATTGCCTATGTGAGAGTCAGCCTTGATCAGCCTTCTCTGCAGACGCATAAATTAACTTTTAACTGTTATCTAAATAAACTATCCAGAAAACTTATATTAACAGTACCATTAATCAATTGATGAATTTTACAACCCATTCAGAAAACACTTTCGGCACAACTTAAAATGTTTCAACATTAGTCGAAAACGTACAGATTCTATACATAAGCTTCAACGGACTGAAAAACTCAATGCACTTATAAGCAACTGATGTTTTACTGTTGCACAATCTTAAAACGTACTTCGTCTCCACCCCGTTTGTTGACTCCTATGTTGTTTTACAAGATAGATAGATATATATGAGCTTTGGTTAAGATTTATATTTCATTATCTCATGAAGTATGTTTTCTCGTCAGTACCTTTTATCGAATATATTTTAATTACAAAGCTGTTCGGTTGTAAATACACTCGATGCAACATCAATAAGAAAGGCATACAAATTATTTATATGAACTCTGATCAAGGCCTGACCTAGTATTTTACCAAACATTAAACGCCGGATTGAAAGTAAATATATGTACGTATACAAATAATAGTAATGTATACAAATGAAGCAAAAAGTTGTGTGAATGACTTAATACGAATATAAGTAATAATTTGTGCTCGAAACGTCATCAGTTAATATTACTGTACAACACTGTGTGATTTATCAAAATAAAATCCTATCCATAGTGGAGTTATACTCTACCACAGTGTCCAAGTTTTATACTTATATCAAAAATACTATGTATAAACCATGTTGCAGAAATCACAGTGACATGGAATCAAATAATTTCAACGTTTCGTTCAGAGAAGTGTTCAGGACTTTTTCAGGAAAATAAAATAAAATATAGCAAAATTATGTGTGAATAGGAGTTACGATCCTGCGTGACATTTGAAAGTGAAAGATATTAAGAAGCTAGCTGCCTTTGATCACAGATGTTTGAGTTTAATCTTCCGTGTTAAGTGGTATATTGTGGTAATAGTGAAGTTAGGCGTAGAGTATTAAACAAGGAGGGAAAGTCAAACGGAGGTTGCGAAGCAGCATTGATTAAAATAGCTGGAACATTATCTTTCACATCGAGTAAATATTGAGTGATAGAGAATTACGTTGGAAGAGTTAAGGTTGATCAAACCAAAACATAACATCAATTCATGAATTCTTTGACTATTGGTTTGGACTATGCGGGAAGGTGATATATACCTTTTTACATTTACAATTAAAAGTATCAGAAAATCGATTCCAGTATAAACTACACGTATTATGCACTTACCTATTACCCGATCCAATTTTACCCATACCAAGGCGCTCGGCCTGTTTAGCTCGTTGTGGATCTGTAGATTTCGCATTGACAGCATCTTGTTTTTCGCATTCATCAGTGATATCTTTATAAGCTAAGCGAAGCGACGCACTATCAGAATACAAGAAAAATTATTATGCATAGTAAACTGAATTGAAATTTGGATCGTAGTTATCAACTTATTTCCTGCTTGTACCAAGCTATTACATATGAAGTGCCTTAGTGAATAATATGAATAATCAAATACTAAGCAATATTGGACATTACTGGTAGAGAATAATTTACACTTGTGTTTAGGCATAAATGGGTACAGAAACTGCAGTTACTTTCATGAAAAGGATCAAAAACTGCAGATCCGAACGCAAACCAACCTGTCATTAACCATTACAAAAGCCCAGAAGCAGAGATCAAATCACACTTACATTCGTTCATTGTCAGTTTTTTCCTGATCTTGAACATCATTGTTGGTTGAGTGGAGCTGACTTTCTTTCCGTGCATCAGCATTTTCAGCAGCTGAAACTATCGCCGAGAAATCCGTTTTCACCTTTGCTGCACCCAAACCACCTTTTTTGGCCCCAAGCTGAATGACAGAGAAAATTCAATTCACAAAAACAAACGAATACATGATCACTTCACTAACTTATTACAGATCATTGAATATTATTGGATAGTTATTTTGCATCTAATTTAAACACTGCATGTACCCTTAATTAAAATATGAAAACAACAGTAATACGTTACTCAAAACCCTCCAATTGAATTAGCCACACTAATTTTCACATGATGACGAAATTATTTGTAAGGCAGTTAGACCACTTTACCACCTACAGCCGACCATGTCATCGTGCATCTAAAAGGAGGCGGCTGATTCACCACAACTAACTTTATATATTTCTATGAGAATAGAGTTTACTATATTGAAACGTCGGTGAGAACCAGGCTATGCAGATAAGCAAGAAATGAAACGTCAACGAAAAAAATGTTTCCGCTGCAGATTTAATAAAATTTCCTCACAGAGAAAGTCGAAGACTGTTGAGCACTTAGAGTTAAAACTGTTGATGGTGGAGAAACACTGATGATTCCTTTACATAAAAGGTCCAGATCAGAGCTTAAGAGAATGCTGTTTTCAAATGGGTCACAACAGGCTTTACAACTATACGGACATATATTTAGTTTGAGCCAATCACAGAGAATTGTAAACAAGGTTATACATTCACAATAATCATTGTTCAGAACAAGAAACATTTTTGAGTGAACAGATGTTTCCTGTAACTATTTTAGGCTCTACATTTATAAGTTCATAAATATAAGAACAAAATAGCCAGTAAAGGCAAATCACAATCATCCCAAAATCTGTATTGGGGTACAAGTATAAGATGGAATAACAGCCCGCTGGATAAGATTGTCAAATGAATGCATAAAAAAGTATCGTCATAACAAACATAAGATAAGATGTGAATAACAAATACGTGACTCTGATGTACTTAAAAGAAACGGAGCGTAAATAAATATTGTTATTTTCAATTCTAAAAGGGATTGCACAACCAAGCAAATTAACTATGGCTTCAAATAATAGGTACAACTGAATTTTTTACCGAGCTTAATTTCACATAGTGGAGTAAATTGTGCAGATAAATATCAATCAACATTAACAATAAGGGATGAAAAACTGTTGTGAACATAACAGCAGAAACAAGTACTTAATTATGCTAAAGCATATTTCAACTGTCGTTCAGTGGACTGAACTTTAAACTACATTCGAAAATTCCACACAAAAAAATAAAGTGAACACAGAAAACATTAAGGCGTGAAAAAATTACACAAAAGAGCAAAGCAGCCAAATAAAATACATTGGGGATACACTAAATCTAGAAGACAACTTCCTATTCTATTCAATCCGCACTAACTCCAGTGACAATATTCTACTTTAGGAATAAACTTTTTATACTTTCATTTAATAACAAGACAAACAAGATAAAATTACCCGAGTAGCGTTTGTTTTTCGACCGCCGATTACTGAGGTTGCCTTGGCAGAAGTGGAGTCAGACGTTGGGGAATTGAATAAATTATCGACAGTTGGTCCGATTGTTTTTTCTTCCAAAGTCACCTCTATCAGTTAGAAAAAATATCCAGATGTTTTAAGTTAATCATTTCAAAACTGTCATATCGAATAGTATAAAAAGAGAAACTATTTGAGATTAGTCTCAGATATTTACGAAATGTGAACTGCAACTCTTTTCTATGTAAAACGGTCAACACTTATTACACATAGTACTTGTGTGAATTTAGAGGGGCTAGAAAATAAGAATTTCGGAAACGTCCCATTAAATGTAAGTGATAGCCTTATCCCTAACCACAATGACAAAATTAATTGAAATGACTTAGCAACCTTTGTCCTACGTTACTCTTTGAAAGTAATGGTGGTAACGAAAATGTGGATGATATAAACCCAGTAGTGCTAGTATGTCTAAATGACTAAATTTGATTTGTTTTAATAAGTCACCTCGGATGACGGCTTATCGTAGCCTCGTATGGAGTGGCGACGGTTGGCTTTAAGACCGTTAAATAAGTTGGTTTGTCCAATACTACTCTAAATAAGACATCACAGCAACACATGTAACAAGACAGATTGAAATGTGATCCTGCAACAAAGGGTGACCACTGAGAGTCCCCTAGTTTATGATGTATCAGAGAGTACACCTCTAATTAACCATTTCTCCTATTTATTAAGTCGCATCATCAAACCTCAGCATGCGTACAAACAGCTCATTACTTGCTGATTGGCATCCCCTTGAATAAAGGTATGGTATACGGCTAGATAGCCAAAAAGGAGTACACTAAATATCAGTTTTTTTGACTTCACAAACGAGAAGTAATCACTGAAGAAAAGAGATGGCTTATGGTCGTAGGATTTTGACAAGATGTGTCATCATTCCATTTCTTATTAAAGAACTGTGAGGCAATGAATGCTGCAACTAGGTGTAGCTGTGAGTAGATGATACCAAATAGTTTATAAGGCATATATATAAGGTTTATATACTAACACTACCCGATTCTATGGGGAAGTTTGTGATGGAAAACGGTTGGATAAGGTCCGATGAGAACATGGTATCACTCCAACAAGTTTATTACAATCAATATGAGCTAGTACTGCAAAGACACTTACATCCTACATTTTGAGGATGCATGCTTGGATAGGATAGAAAACACCTTTCGACTGACATATCTTAAAACATGTTTCAGGAATGTCATCCCAACTTAGAATCAAACTATGTGCAATTTTATTTTTTCTTCTAAATCCGGAACCGATTTGAACCAACAAAATCCTATTCATATTAGTTTGCTTATTAGATGTATCACACAGTGAAACAGTATTATCTACTATGTGATACATCTAATAAACAAACTAATATGGAATTACTAACACAGTGTCCAAGTTTTACACACATATATTAAAATCCTATTCAAATTTCCTTTCATGTTAACTTCTTTCTTTTTGTCTGTTTTTCAGCTATTTTACTCCTTTTTCATACTATTGTTTGCTTGGCACATCTCATAGTGAACAGGATGCTGTGTTAGATGAGTTGGAATGCTACTCCGCGAACATCTACAGCCATAAGCAAACAGCAGCGACTCAAACGTCACAGATTAACGGGAATAACTGGAAACAAAGGCAAGTGGTGTCGTAGACGTCATATCCGTTATTCACTAATGGAAATTCGGGCTAGTCGAGGAATGAAGATAAAAGAGAGGAGTCAATGATGTCACGAAAACAGCATTGTCTGTAATGCACAGAATTGAAATTTCCCGATTATAAAGAAAAGAAATGTTCAACTTGGAAAGAATAGGACTAATACAAAGTTACACTGCCCAGTACTTGTGACTAGAGACACCAGAAACGTTTGCTGTAAGCCAAAACGTATAACTTGACGGTAAATTATCCGTAAAAATGTTGGTTTATGTTCGGGTTGCAGAAGTCCCTAATAAGTTTTTTTTTCCAGACTTGATATTAAGCCAGAACGCAGGAAATTACTGCGAAAAGTCTATAGTGACTTTTGAATTACAAAACGAGCAATTTAAAATATGTGAAGGAATAGAAAGAAGCTGGATCGCCATGCATATATATAATTCGAGGATTTACATAAGCTACCCGGAGCCTACTGTCCTTAATATCCGAAGACTGTTCTTAGTACTGTCTTGTAGAATAATTGAGGCGTTTAGTCAAAACGACATCAAAGGCGAACGAACTGTAAACTTCATTTTGTTAAAAAGGGACAGGATATGGGCGTCTTAATTAGGGAGATATCTTATACGAATGTTCGAACTGCAAGAAGTACGGACAGTTACCTGTTTACAAAAAATAATTTGAAGAACTATGGGGAACCTTATGAAAAAAGATGGCCTATTCAAAACATTCAGATATAAAGATACTGACTTGGAACTACTGCAGCAGGCCTGTCAGGCCTCATATCGTTATCCGAAATACATTCTGTGTGGAGCTCAAAAAAATCGGCCACTTTATCACATTTTCCTTTTTCTTCATCTGCTTCTATGATCAACTACAAAAATCACAAAACACAACAAATTACTTTGTTCCCATGAGTTTTAACCGCTTCAACGGCTAACTTCTCCAGTTTGGTTCGGTAAAGTTGAGCAGCCCGGCTTTGATACTTCTCTTGTGCGTCCAACGAACGGCAATTATTCTGCGTGAAGAACGATAACTAATCCGGATATAAGAAGAAACTGGTGCTTACTGCATTTTGATTTCCCCCGACTTGCATAGCACGCAGTTGAACCCAAGACCAATTAGTATCCAGTTGAGTGGAACGAATGAAGCTAAGGTGAACCCCAAGGGAACGATGAACTGCTGAACAGTCGATGCAAAGAAAAACTCCATAAGTTACACTAGCCCATGTAGGATTAGTAGCACCACAATCAAAACATTGCTACAGTGCAACTAATATACTTGAAAATGTAATTACTACCTTGTTACATGGCAGAGATTTCAGTTTGTTTAGAATTGTCACTATTTCATGCTTCGTTGGTGGGACTCCGACCATTTTACGGAAGTAGAACAGCAAAAATACGTGGACTAAGTAACAACACTTGCGAAACTCGCGGCTTTTCCTTCAATATACAACGCTTACAAAACACTATTTATCCAATATCCTTTTTACTAACCAGTATAAGCTAAGTTAATTTTACCTTACCGCCTTCTGAATGGTGGGAGTTTGGTTCCTGATCTTGGCTGGATTTCCTCGCAGTCAGTCTTGCCTTTCCTACTAATCTCCATCATAGTCCCTGATGCCTGAGAAAGGAGTTCACGGTTTATACCTAGACAGTAGCACTGCTTGACCACACATAATTTTGGTATTGAATGAGAGGAAGGACTGGTAACTGTAATCTTTATGGCCAGCCAGTGCTTCACTCCCACTCTTTAGAAATATACTGGTAATCTATCCTCTTGAATGATGAATCTCTACCAAAATCAATAAGAGATTGCATAAAATTACTGTGAATGGTATGTACGCTACGTCACTGGCCAGCGGATTTGAGGCAACTCTATGGATAGGCTAAACAACATTTAAGAGAGTATGACAAGAGGAATAAAACAGGGAATCAGGAAAATGAGTAGATAAAATAAATGGTGCCACATGAGCGGCTAGATAACATGTACGATAAACAGAACTGGACTGCTCCGATGCCTTCATTTCCTCTTGGTATAACTTTCAACTGGTCACTTACCGTCCAAGAGCCTCATGTGTGACGTCGCTTAGCTTATTTCTAATCCATCTTCATTTCCATAAGCATATTCCCTGGACAGTAGATTCTTGGTTGGTTTTATATCACAGTCCCTTGCTGGCTATGTCATTTGGTTGGCCGTCGGATCCTCCGTATCGATATAGGGTAGCTTTCCTGAGGTAGATTTTGTGAATATATTGGCCTTCTGTAAACCAGTGCTAAATCAGTATGCTGTAAAATTTAAGAAAGCATTTGGTATTGTTTTCTCACTATCTGTATAAATCTAGATCAACAGTGTCAGTAACTAGAGTTGTCTTAGATGTGTGATAATCATCTGATGACTTCGCAAATGGTGTTGTGTCCTGTGAAGATGATTTGGTGTGGTTTGAGGCTCTTAATGACCTGAGTTCCGATGTGTTTTGATTGAGGGCTATTGTGTGTTAACGTCTTGTAGTGTATCATTCCTTTTTAACGGAGTGATTGTGTGATCGTCTTTCAATCACTATTTTTTTCGACTACGAATTTTATTTATCAGTGGTTCATATCTTCCGGTAAAGTACGTTACAAATGATGTTTAAGCCTCTGGTTGTCTCAAACTGATGGCGTACTGGACAGCAGTGGTATTGCTGGTTGCCTCAATCTACGGCATTTGTTTGCGAATTCAGCACTTTCTTCTCCACGAACAGTATGCCTTGCACCGTATAAGCCTCTAATAACCAGCTTTTCGGTAAAAAGCAACACTAAGCTGGGATTCTAGTTGTTTAGTTACCTCTGTGGTAATGCAATTTATCAGGCTATTTAACTCAGCAACCGATTCCGTGTCGAGCCGGCGGAGGTCTTCTTTTTCGGTGTGGATTCTCTATGTTATTATTTCACAGACTCGCGATCTAATGTTGTTCATCTGTGTCGGTGGTCTAGATGTACTGAATATATTTTCTGAAAATCCTTCATCCGTGAGCTTACTACATTTCAGTAGAAAAGTAACGTTAGCGCAAAATACGATCTATACTAAAGCAAATTCACATCCCGAAACTGCTATAGCAATTGTTTTGCTGAGACCAAACACCAGTTAAAATGCCAAATCGATAGACCAAAATACGAGGAAAATTTTGGGGTCAGATTCGTAGTATGATTGCTCGGCTGCTAAGGGATTATGCGCGAACAACTTGATGAAGCCCAACAGCCTGGCAAATGCCACAACCTAAATAGTCGACTTAAACAGTGAGGTCTGGCATCCAACGTTGACAGGTGGGTGACGGAGGCGGGTAATTTTCCGGGAATTAATTACTTCAGCCTCCCTGTTGCATATTTGAGTCCTCACTTTCTCTGCAGATGACATTAGACATTCTATTTCACGTGATAGAGTCCGAAATGGACTTGCTGATTGAAGATCGGCGAAACCAGCACAAAGTGTCGTGAGTAAATCTAGTTGAATTTCGGGTATGGTATTTATGATAGCTATGGTACTACTAGTCGTTTGCACAGATTTATCCTCAGTTCCAGCCCCGTTATGTGGTATTAAAACGGCAACTTAGCCCATATGGTGGACTAGTGAGCCAAGTGACTTTAACACCGCTTGGGGGTTATTGGTCATTGTCAAGAAGACTTGTTTTCCTGCACCCACGTCAGCCAAAGCCCGCCATTTGTCGCTGCATGGCTGTTCCGTACGAGTAAGTTGATTAACACGTAGAAAGCTATATGTAAGCTATTTTAGATCATTGACAGTGCTTGTATAAGATGCTGTACAGCGTCTTGTTGTGGTGACAGTGGATTTCATCAAGGATGCTGAGCCATTACTAGCCAAACCTTCAGGGATGATATACGAGTATTTGACTTCAATTGTTTCTCAGCTTCAGACGAAATGTAGGTCTCTGCATCTTCTACTACAGAGCAAATACAACAGAAGAGGTGAGCAGCAAAGTACCACAGGGCAGAGAAAAGTATGTGGAGTGGGACATATATGTTTATATTCGTTGTACATTGTAATTTAGTCAACAAGTATTTATTTCTACTAAGTCTTTTAATGCATTTATGCCACTAGTTTATTTATAGTTTTTAGAGTAACAAAGGCATTTAAGCGTGTTGTTTAGGTATTGCAGTAGACTAATAGTTGATTCGTTGTAGGAGTAAATAGTTTATTATTATAATCAGTAGTGTGAAATAGTCTGTACAGAGAACGTTTGAAACTTATAACTGAAGAGCAAGTTCTGACGTATAGGGGCAGGCTATTCCATATTTTAGAATACATGACTGTGAAGAAGTTTTCACGGAGCGTTGACTTAAAGGCTTTTATTTTCCTTGTGCAAGTTTGGTTACGCAGATCGTAAGAGCCTTTTTGTTTGAATTGTATGTCCTTACTGTCTGAGAATGACATTTTGTGAAGGACATTAAAGAAGAATATTAAGTTTATAATAAGTCGTCTTGTCCAAAGTAGGTCAAGTTTTAGGATCATGCACCGTGAGATGTAGTCTTTCGTACAATCGTAGCCAAGTAGTTTGGAGTTAAAATATCGTTGGATACTTTCTATACTTAGCTTGTCACGTGTGTGAATGCTGCTTATAATAAATGGACAGTATTCTAGTAGTGGTCTTACATGTGTTTCATACAGAATGAGCTTTACTTCATTGTCGTGAAAGTTCCTAAGTATGCATCCTAAGAACATCCTCGGCTTTCGAGTTTGTGATGCCACTTGCTCAGAGATTGTCAGGTCACTAGAATACCTCAGGCCTAAGTCAACGACACTTCGTATTCTGATTAGGTTAGCAGATTGAAGCGTTAACTTCAAGTCGATTGAGGGTGCGCCGAAGCGGATCCAGCCACATTTGTTCAGGTTAAACTGTAGATTCCATAAAGACGACAAAGCAGTCACTTAATCTAATTCTTGCTGCACAATATTCTCAAAGTACTCTAGGTCATCACCTTGGAATATATAAGCTACTTTTAGGTCATCTGCAAAGATAAATGGTTTCCCATGTAAGAGGCACGCGCATATGTCACTGATATAGAGTATAAATGGGAGGGGCCCAATGACACTACCTTGTACTACACCTGAAGTGATTGGGCTAGGTTTCGAAAATACAGACCCGAGCTTAACTATTTGGGACCTATTGCTAAGGAATGATTTAAGCCATCCTAATAATGGGTCACGTAATCCTAAGGATTTCAGCTTTTGTCTTAGTAGTAAATGGTCGACACGGTCAAATGCCTTAGAAATGTCAAAGTAGATGACAAGTACTAGTTGCCGTCTGTCACGACTGCTGGTCACAGAATTGAAGAAGTCTAAGTGGCATGTTAAACAAGATCTGGATTTTAGGAATCCATGTTGGTTCGGACTTATAATGTTGCAGCTAAGCATATGCTTGATTAGGTTACCTTTAACTAGTCTATCTATAATTCTAAATGCGGTAGGTGTGATACTGACCGGCCTATAGTTACTGACTTCTGTTCTCGAGCCAGATTTGTGCTTAAGGATAACAAATGTTTTTTTCCATATATCAGGGTAAGTTCGAGTTTCTAGGGACATTGTGAATATTTTAAGCGGTAGTAAGGGAATGTCATGGCCACCATATTTATAAAAATATGATGATATACCATCAGTAGGAAAACCTTTTGAGCTTTTGAGGGTTCTTACAGTATGATTAATGTTAGCATAAGTGAATTCAACAGTACTTATTGAGTTTGGTGTGTGAGGAGATGGAGCTTGTGTCATATTAGTAGCAGGGTGTTAATTCATTTCCTACCTGTTGATTCTCAATCTTTCCTTTGTTCAACATTATACTACTTGCCATTAGTAAGTAGTATGATTTTTATATGTTAATTTATAACAATGACATTTGCTTACAACTGCAGTTAAATTACTTGTTCTATTATCATTCTATTAATGTATAGTTCTTATTTTTCTTCTCCTTAAACATTATTTGCTGACCTTACCCTATAGTGTATGCTTTACTATTGAAAGTTGTTTGTTCATATTTGTTTAATCTTTGCTTGGCATTCGCGGGCCGTTTGAACCGACACGTGGATCGACCTTGACACAGCATTCCTGTTTTTACTTATTGTCTGCACAGTGGTTGTGCATTTGACGGCATTTAGCTACAGACACCTCACATTTTGAGGTTTGTATATTATATATCTATTTTCATGTAATAAAGTACCGTATTGCAGGATATGCTGTATTTCGAACTTTACGCGTCACTCCACGTGTGGTTTAATCTATAGTTTGGATTATCGTTTCGGATTTCTTTCGGGAGAAATTCACACAGGGTGTATATCGAGTAACTGGACTGTGGGCTTAAGGTAGTTGGCTGCAAATGTTCTGTTAAACAATTCACACATGTCTGCAGAATTAGTGCAATGCCCACCTTTGTCTATGTGGAGAGAAAT